GAACAAACAATAAAATAGCATAAAGCAAACACAACAAGGACAGCAGGAATAGTTGGATGATAGGGCAAACTTGGCAAGTCCTTAGAGGATGCCACTGAAAGCTTCTTTAATTTTTTTTTTAAAGCAGCCTCTGAAAGGTAGAGAGGGAGGGACCCAGGCACAGTAAAACTGGGAGCCCATTTCAAAGGGCTGCTGCCATCGCTGAGAAGGTAGAGAGGGAGGGACCCAGGCACAGTTAAACGGGGAGCCCATTTCAAAGGGCTGCAGCCATCGCTGAGAGAGCAAAAGCAAAGCAAAGCAAAGTGTGCACCACCTAGACAGCTAGGGTTTTGTCTATGCTCTACCACACCATGAGCATGTGTGCATGTTTAGGTTGTGGGTGTGTGGTTTGTTTGTCTGTTCTGAACCAGGGAAGATTTTTTTAAAAAGATCTCCCACCTCTAATGTTGAGGTCCCTTCTACTACTTTGGTTGTTTTTAGTGCTTCACATTCTGATGCAATCCAGGCTTAAAGGACTAAATAAGCATCTAGGCTGAGTATACATCTTGATCAAACGAGATGAGGGGAGTCTTTAAAAAGAAGAGAACAATTGATGAATTACATGTCCACTCACTTAGGCAGTGAATTACAGCAATTAGGTGATTGAAGATCCAAATGCAATACACATAGAATTGGAAATCGCACAGCCAATTAACATGGGAAGAAACAACAAACAAGCTGTGATTTGACTTTGTTGAAGGCATTTGTTTCCTTCGTAGATCTGTTGATGTAGACTGTCACAGAATAAGGGAGTTTAGCCAGAACAGGACACTGTGTGAATCCTATACACTCTTCCATGTACAGTACTCTAGGGTAGCTCCCACTGGGCTGGTTTTTAAGTTGCTCCATCCCAAAGTCTCTGAGGTCCCTTCTTGCTTGGCTACTTGTGTTTTAAAGAAACATGTCTCAGTATGATGAGATTACATTTACTGCATTTAAAAAGCCCAACACATTTTTGCCTCTCATTCAAGTCTTCTTCAGTGGTGCCTGGACTTACAAACACCTTGACCTATGAACATTTTGAGTTACAAACAGCTCTGTTCACATAATTTTGCTTCGGCTTGCGAATGGAGCTTTGACTTAACACAAAAAGGCAGGGGAAAAGGGCGGGAAATTCAAATTTCTAGCTGTAGATTGGGACGAGGCTGCTTCTTTGTAGCTGTTTTGCCCCGGCAGTTAGAGAGTGTGCGATCGGAGGAGGCTGCCTACTAAGGTAAGGAGCTGCTTTATACTTTTGAAAAATTGTTCTGGGTATTTTTGCAGTGTGGTTTTCAGCTGGGGGGTTATGCTTCTGTGCTGTGATGAGTCTTTGGGTTTTTTTGTTTTTTGGGGGGGTTCCCCCATTTTTGATGTGTCTTGCATGCTTCCCTTGCTTTATTTGCTCCAATGTTTCAATACTTAGCATCTTTAGAATGCTCAATAGTTTTCACTACTTTGAACAAGCAATTCAACAGAAACACACATAGTGCATGATGCTGCAGTAGTACTGTCAAAAGCAATGAACAAGCAATTCAACAGAAACACACATATTGAGACCGCTCAACATAGTGCACGATGCTGCAGTAGTACTGTCAAAAGCAGTATGATGCTCATTTGAGGGTGTTCTTCCTCAAATGAAACAAACAAAAAAACACGCTGCAGCCATATCAAAGGGAATCAAATGATTAATGATTACCAAAATCATTTAAGGAGTTTTCACATAGACAGGCTGTTCTTACCTCTGTATCAACAGTGTGATATTGAGGTATACTTCACAATATGAAGGGTTATTGTGGTGCAGACTATTTGGAGGGGTGGGTGTCAAAGTTCAAGTGCCCCCCCAGCCTTGAAATTCACTGGGTGACCTTGAGCCAGTCAATGTTTCAGCCTGACACACCTTCCATCCATAAGTAAGTGGCTGTACATCACCTTCAGCTCATGGAAGGGAATATGAGATATAATTATAGCTAGTTTTTTGAAAGAAAGAACGAACGAACGAACGAATGAAAGAAAGAACAAAAAAAAACCCAACCTAAAGATAAGAAGCTAGTTCAGACATCTGAGGCACGGTATAGCAGTCAGGCTGGTGGGGAAAAAAACCAAAGGCAAAACTTTGGTTATATAACCTGTCCCAAAGGTAAGCCAATATCCATAGAGCTTTCTGTGAGAAGCCAAACTAAGATGTGATCAAGCCCATGACTACATTTAATCCATGAATAATACAAATAATGTTTGGACAGCACTTCTGGGGAGATTTGAGAATCAGCCACTCTAAATTAATTTATTTCTTCATATCTAACAAACTAAAAATATGAATAAAAAGTAATGTAATGTAAGATATTTCTCTTGAAGCTAATCACATATAGCAAACAGCAAACATGCTCTATAAGCCTTGATGTGCATAGAATATTAGTGTTGTTTAACATTATATTGCCATTTTCATTTAAAAGGAGTTTGGGCTACAATCATTTGCATACTTACCTAATAAAAAGTTCAGTAGAATAATTTCTGAAGCCATGTACATATTCACACTGCATTTTAGTTATTTATATTAGCAAAGTGCTAGTACTGCTCTGTAGCCAAGTGGGAGTGTGAACTTTATTTTATGGAGTTAATAGCAGGGTCCAGAAAAAACGGAGAGATTCAGTCAGAGGCCACGCAGAGAGAGTTACATGTTAAGACATAAAGGCTGCTGCATTTCAACTAGGTGATAGTTGGGAACAACTGGAATAATAATTAAAAATATGTGACTAAAGACAAAATGTAATGAAAATTGAGAGCACATAAGCCTAGCTTAGGACAGAGATGGTATCTCAATATTATTTTATATTATATTATATTATATATTATATTATATTATTATAGAATCATAGAAAACTGAAGTTGGAAGGGGCCTACAAGGCCATCAAGTCCAATCCCCCTGCTCAATGCAGGAATACAATCAAAGCATATCTGCCAAGTGATTATCCAAGTTTTTCTTGAATGCCTCCAGTGTGGGAGAACTCACCAACTCCTGAGGTAACTGGTTCCACTGTTGTACTGCTCTGTTAGGAGGTTTTTCCTGATATCACATTATATTATATTATATTATAAGGTTGTTATGTGCCATCAAGTCTCCTCCTACTTATGCGGACTCTATGAATGATCAATCTCCAAAATGTCCTCTCCAGCCCAGCTCTTGCAAACTCAGGCTTGTGTCTTCCTTTAGGGAGTCAATCCATCTCATATTTGCTCTTCTTCTTTTCCTGCTACTTTCAACCATTCCCACTATTACTGTCTTTTCCAGAGAATCCTGCCTTCCCAAAGTAGGACACTATTTGGTAACAGAATAGAATACTGTATACAAATTGCTCCATATGAAAGATTTAGAAAGGTGTACATTAAGTTTAAATGGTCAATAAAACGGCTACAGTAAGAATAAATATTATTTTACTATGCAATGTTTCAGTTTCAGTTTCAATGTTTCAATGTATCAGACCCACACAAAAGGTTTCCTATATTAGCAAGTCATCCAATATAAACAGTAAAAGGGTTTACTGAACTTTGCTCACTACAGTGGTGCCTCGCTTAACGATTGCCCCACATTACGATTAATCCGCTTTACGATGATCTTTTGTGATCGCAATCGCAAAACAATGGTCTAAATGGGGGAATTTCGCATAGCAATGATTGGTTCCCTGCTTTGGGAACAGATTTTCGCTTTACGACAATCAAAAACAGCTGATCAGCAGGTTTTCAAAATGGCTGCCGGGTGCTTAAAATGGCTCCCCGCTGTGCTTAGGGACAGATTCCTCGCTATACAGGCACCGAAAATGGCCACCGTGTGGAGGATCTTCGCTGGACAGTGAGTTTTTACCCCATTGGAACACATTGAATGAGTTTCAATGCATTTCAATGGGGCTTTTAATTTTGCTTTACGATGTTTTCACTTAACGGCGATTTTCCTGGAACGGATTATCGTCGTTAAGCGAGGCACCACTGTATATACTTTATGCTTAATGTTTTCTAGAGTCAAAGTCACAAGGGACAGCTGACCAAATGCATTTGCCATCCCCATGGGGCAGAAAGAGTGTCTGCTCGCACAAGAGAGGGCTGTAGCACAGCCTTTGTTACAGTTTATACTAGAAGAGAGAATATTCAAGCACCCTTTGCCCATGTCTTGATTCATGAACAACAGCAAAGGGAGAGAAGAGTGGGCAACCTTGGAGAGGTAGGGAATATAGTGGATGCCCCTGCTAACCCATAGGGCCACAAGCCTGCTATCGCCAACACCACTGGATCTGTCTTGTTTTAAAGCAGAATCAAATTCCCTACCTCCACATTTTGTTTTTTAAGCAGAAAGGTGGCATTTTGCTAGTTGCAGACTAAAGTGGCAGGTGAAGTGGTTACAGCAGAAACTGAGGGGGAGGATGCATGCAGCCTTTGTGGAGCCAAAACCTGACACAGAGGGTGAAAATTTGACAGTGTCGTGTCTATCCAAGTATGCAGCAGGTATGTAGTAGATGCAGAAATACTCTAAAGAAGTTTTGAGCTACTTTAGTCACTACTAAATGGAGAGATGGTGGTGTTGTTAACAAAGTTCACACATCTGAAATGCAGTAAAAGTGTGTTCATGGGGGCGGGGGGTATTTAAAAATAGGTCAGGAAAGGAGAATGTATCCCCCAAAAGGCTTAATGTCCTCTCAGCCCCATAATTTCTCTGCTCTTGATGTGTCTCCAGGAAACGGTGTTCCCATTCATAAATGGGTTACTAAAGTACCTTTACATGCATGTCTGTAACTTACAGTTTTGCTCTAGGCATCTTCACCAGGATATGCACCTGTTCCAAACACCACCTTAGCCATTAAGTCAGGAAACGACCCTAAACAAGCCGCAGCCATTCAGCATCCTCGAGCACCATATACAGTAGTGATAACAACATGGGCCTACAATGGAGCATTGTTTGCAATAAACACTGAGAGAGTATGAAGTGCTTTGAAGGCTTAAAATGCACAAAAAGTATTTATTAATACTGTTGGCAAACTCGGAGTCAGTTGGGAGGGCACCCTTCAAAGCTCTGGAGGCAGCAGTTCCCCATAAATGAGATAATCTTCTCCCATCTGCAGCACCTCTGAGCAAAAAGGGCAGGTGGGGTTTGCCTTGCATGAACATGAATTACAGCAAACTTTGCTGAGCACCGCTTTACTCCACAAGGAGCCTGCATTCAAGCAGTTTAATGTAACAGATGTTGTGAAGACTTTTTGGGAGCATGCATAAAGGAATTTGAAAGAAAGGGGGAGGAAGGCAATGCTTTAAGAAATTAAGCACTCCTGGGTGCCTACAGAAACAAAAGCATTTCCTTTTGTTCCAGGCTGAAGTTTTCTTTTTTTAAAAAAACACAGTTTGAAAACTTGAAGTTACAGATGAGGAAAGCACAGATTCTTGAACTGGTCAATAGCATTTTTGATGTTCCAGTGTCATACAGGATCCGCACTTCAACAGCCTGCCAATTTCCAAGTCTCAGAGAGGATTTTCAGAACAGATGTTCCATCTTCCACCTTTTAATTCCCAGCTGATCTGGATCCGAAGCAGACCAGCACAGACACGGCTGTTCACCTCCCTAGTGTCTCCATGCTTTCTTTCTTTTCTTCTTCTTCCATTGTTTATCATCCATTTCTTTGGTATCCTCAGGAGGGTTTGGCATTACGAAACCGTCTGTCAGTTTATAGTAGACTATTGTAGAGTCTGATTCAACTATGGCCAATGTTAGGGACAGGGAGGAATCAGGATTGTTCTCCAAAGCGCATGCTCTCTTCATGATCTGCCTCAGCCTGAGGGAAAGAAAAAGTCAGCAGTCTTACCTATTTCCTATACATTCCACATGAAGGCAATTCAGCAAACACAGCAAGTTAATAATCAATGCCTAGTTTGTGTATCTTAAAAAGAGATGTAGTGTACAGTTCTAATCATCTGCAGACGCAACAAATTCGTAAAATTAAGCTGCATTTCACTGGGTCACTTTGGCCACTAGCATTCTCTATGCACAGCTTTTCAGTTCTTCGCAGCCATTCCCACAGGGGCAGGATTTACTCGGTGTTCAGGGAGGGGGAGAGACTGGAACTCCACATGGCAAATTCAAACCTCATCACAGTCAAAGAATACCTGGAATGTGGCAGGGCGGAAGATTTACATCACGGTTTTATGGTTTTTTCACCCACAGTTGCACAACATTTGACCCCAGCTATTCATGAAAGGTTAAATGAACATTGGGGGGCAAAGCAGGAATCAAAGAGAAGTCAAATTAAATGTGACAGAAGATAAGGCAATGATCCAGAAAACCTATAGCCCTTTAAGCAATTTCGCCTTTCCCACTCTACCACTGCACAGAACTTATGCTTCAATGATAGTAAAGAAAATAAAAATCTAGACAGTTTTTATCACCAGACCTCTACTTGGTATTAATTGTCAGAAGGGATTTTTCATTATTTCACTCTGCACAGATCTGCACATTAGTATCACATATGATGAAGGAAAGTGAGACAAGACCCCAGACAGCCAGCAATCTGGGCCCTACTGTTCATCACAAAGACTGGCAGAACCAGCTTTCCTTTTTGTGGCAAAGCAAAGAGGCCACCCCAGGCAGCAGGGTGTCATGGAAGTGCTGCAAATGGATAGATATTGTTGTTGTAGATTTACTACCAGGAACTGTGCTTGTGAGATCTTTTTTGACTCAAGGGCCAAAATAACATGACTGCCCTGGTGTGCTACACACCTCAATGGTCTAGCGCACACTGCACTTTAATTTGCTACTTTGCCTCAGACAGAAAATTAACTGACAAAGAAAGCAGCACCATGTCACCAGCAAATACTGTACTGAAAGTATACTGTAGCCGGGAAGGGTAGGCAATGTGGAATTGGTGACAAAATGGAGATCCACTGACCATCAGCATTATTCTTCGGCACCTTCCTCCATGATAAAAAACAGCAAACGATGCTTGAAGGTATTTCCCGGGAAACAATCTGGGAGAATTTTTAGGCCTTTATTATCAGTCCCCCAAATGCAACAAAAAAAATGGCTCCAAAGACCTTGTGGCTATTTTATCTGAAACGCAAGCATGCCAGCTGGTTGCCACGTATCGTCTCTGTGCTGCATACGATTTAGAAAGTACTCTATAAGGGAATGCATCTCTGGAATTAAGGAAGTCGGTGCTTCCGATGCCTCAAGGCATCTTTGTTAGGGGCCAGATTCAGAATTCCAGAGGAGCTCTATGTCTACAGAAGTTATTTGTGAAAGAAAGAGAGAAAGGAATCTGACCGTGAAGCTCTTCATCTCTCATTACACAGAAGGTACTGTATATAGGACATCTGCCATGAATGGGAATACTGATGGGCTCTGCGTCAAGCTGATAAACTAATCCCCACAGGCCAAGAGGATTTCAACTTCAAAAGCACCGTGGGGTTAAGTATGAAAACAACAACAAGAGAGAGGCAGATGAAGACAGAGGGACTCTCTCCACTGAGACCCACCATTTCTAGCATTTACTCTTCTGAAGACCAGTGCCAACTGGCCCTCACAGAAAGCTGTCTTGGACAGAGTCAGTATATTGGTCCACCTCTCCGGGTACTGTTTCCAGTGATTGACAACACTCTCCGGGGTTTTTGGAAAAGAGTTTCTCAAGCCCTGCCAGGATTTGAACTTGAGACCTTTTCCTACAGCCCCTTCCCATGTATACAATGGTGCAGTAAAATAACCCATGGGCTTAATGGGTTTGTGGGGAGGGGCGTCTTATCCAGCAAGGACAGGTCTTATGCCTACTTTGAAAGATGGGACTCCAAACCCTCCTGTGAGGCCAGTTCTGGGACCTAGACTTCTGCCCTAAGTCCTGCCTTGGATACCACTGGAAATATACAGTAACTAGCACAAGCCTAACTTAAATGAAGCCTATCATTAATCTTATAACTCCTTTTGCAATTTTCCAGGCAATCCTACAGACGTCTGCTCAGAATGGGACCTATTTCCCTGTTCAGTGTACAGAATCGTAGTTCTAAGCTCTTTTTGAAAGAGTTAAAACAGATGCTGGTATCAGAACAATTTACTCCACAATATTTTGATCTTTACACATAAAAATAACAAGATAGAAATAAAGTATGCATGGTAAGATTACTACTTTTGTCTCAGAACAGTCCCATAAGAAAGGGTAACTGTGTTTGCCGTGAGCCAATAGCAAAACCTGTTTGCAATCCTCCGTTTGTTGCTGTGAGAGTTCCCAAGCTGCTTGCTAATGGCTCCTGGGCAGCCAGAGTGATGAGCTAATACGATACTGACCCTGCCAGAACAAGATGTCAGTGTTAGTGCAACTTTTCTTTCCCTACTGCTCAAAAACGAACTTGAAGGTAGACATGTGTTCTTCATCTGAGAAGTTCATTGGCAGTAATTACAGATTTTTGCTATGGTTTCCCACACAGAAGCCAAGGATTCAGACTGAACTGAGAAACACTAGAGCAGAGCCTCTTGTGAGTAATTCTGGCATCCAAAACTCCCGCCTTGGGGATGTTTATGAAGAAGTCTTGTGGAAGATTTCAGAATTCTAAATCTTTCTTGTCTTTGTATTGTTATTCCCACCCACCCCGTCATGGGTCACACCCCTTAATCTTCCCTACTTTTTTCATTTGGTACTCTGCCGTCCAGCCTTCTGAATGTACTGTTCTTCAGATTGAGTTTTCATCATCCAGTCAGCATGAGCTTAATGATGATGGGAGCTGTAGTCCACCACCCTTAATTATGATGGGAGTTTTAGCCTAACATAACTATAAGGCACCTGCTTGGGGAAAACTGCTGTAGCCCTTAAAACAATTTCACGGGGAACTCATTCTCTGTCTGCCACATCGAGACTTACAAATTTTGCACCGGGTACAGAGAGGGGAGGGGAGGGTGCTGCAGGGACAGCACAGAATGTTTAAACTGGGCACATGAGTACAAATAAAAGGGTTATTTTGCACACTGCTTTTTTTCAGTCCATACAAGTTATCCAAGCCAAATTTGTTCACAGGCTTATGTGAACAAACCTAATATATGATGAGACAGCAGGCCAGTTCCCATATTCACTAGACCCCAATACCCAGTGGGAAACGGGCCCCTTCTCATGAGGGTGGGCACACCTTTCTAGCTATATTAAGGTTTAGACCACGGAATTAATTTGCTGTTTTGAAGAGAGAGAAAGAGAGTGAGTGTGAGAGAGAGAGTGAACAGATAGAGAGGCAGCAGGCTTGCATATCTGTCCTACTAGAAAGCTAGCCACTAAGTGGGCCTCATATCTGTCCTACTAGAAAGCTAGCCACTGAGTGGGCCTCAGTGTAATTAATACAGTTCAGATGCCAAACACAGAGTAGAGAGCATGAGTTTGTGGAAACACTACACAAATGAAACCAATAGAAAAAGTATGTGCTGCATAGTATCCTCAAGTAATTAAAAAACATGTTTCTATAAATATCTAAAGAATTAAAAATTAAGACTTATTTCATGGACACTGACAAAACCCAACAAATTTTTTTTCCATAGTGGGGGAGGAAGGGACTCACCTTGCATCGTTATGTGAAGCACCATTTCCCATAGGAATGCATTGAAAACCGGTTAATCCGTTCCAATTGGAACGGATTAACCGGTTTTCAATGCATTCCTATGGGAAATGGTGCTTCACATAACGATGGTTTCACATAACGTTTTTTTTTCTGGAACCAATTAACATCGTTATGCGAGGCACCACTGTAATACAGTTCAGATGCCAAAGACAGAGTAGAGAGTGTGGGTTTGTGGAAACACTACACAAATGAAACCAATAGAAAAAGTATGTGCTGCATAGTATCCTCAAGTAATTAAAAACATGTTTCTATAAATATCTAAGGATTTAAAAATCAAGACTTATTTCATGAGCACTGACAAAACCCAACAAAATTTCTTTCCATGGTGGGGGAGGAAGGGACTCACCTTGAGGAAAGAGAAAGCAAATGGGTGATAGAAAAAGGCTCCCCGAAGGCCAGATGCAATATACGAACGACATTAAAGCACCTCTTCCACAGCAGATCAGATCCATAGCTATAAATTCCTGCCAAGACACTGGAAGGCTTTCTAATCCAACCTCTGATTCTTTTGTGGGAAAAAGGCAATCCATCTGTCCCTGGATCACCATCAAAGACAGCCATTTCAAGTCTCCATGGAACCTCCTCCTCCTCTTTCTCTGCCAGTTAGCCTTTCCCCTTTCCCAAGATGAGTCTTTTTCATTTGGAGGGAAGAGATGGAGATTCAGCAGAAGAGAGCAGTGTGGAGTGCTCACCCAGAAAGGATGGATCCGCTTAAGAACATCGGGCTTACTGTAGTCAAGAACCTCTGGCCAAATTCTCACCCCATCTCTCTATGACTACTGAAATACATCAGCAACCCATCTGGTTTCTTATTTACAAAATGTTTTACAGCCTGATGTTCTACTTCAATAGGCTTTTGAGATAGTTTACAGTGAGAGATAAAACAACCGTAATAAATTCCTAAGACAACAAACTATAATACAGCACAAAGAAAAACAATGACAGAGAAGCAGAATAATCTCCTTATTTAAATCATCAAAAGGGCCAACGCTGACATCCAAATGGCAGTCCCAGTTAGAGCAGTCCACCTGAATAAATGACACTTGTTAAGTCACCATTTCCAGAGGTTTCCATTGGTTCTAGCTGTGAAAAACATTTAGATCTAGCCCCAAAATTTAAAGTAGAAAAGAAACCCATCCTGACCTGCTTGGGAGAAAAAAAGACATAACCATGGTGCCAAACAAGTTCCTTGGGCAAGCATTCCACTAATAGGGCACCATCACAGTTTTTCCCCTCTTGGGCACTCACTGCCCAGCAATTCTCCAAAGGTGAAAACATCCAAAGGCAGGCCTTCAATGAGGATCTTGATAAACAGAGAGACTCACATGGGAGAAGGTAGTCCTTCAAAATACTCTAACCTCAGGTCACTTAGGGCTTCACAGTCAATAGGATCACTCAGTACTATACTTGAAAACAAAGCATTAGCCAAGGAAGGCTTCAAAACAGACCAGCTAGATGTGTGTGTGTGTGTGGATGTGTGTGTTTAGTAAGTTCCTGTTAATAATCCAGCTGTCGTATTCTGAACCACAGGAAGTTTCTAAGCAACCTTCAAAGGCTGCTTCTGGAGTTTCACCATGCATTGCCAAGCTAAACTAAAGCATATAAAACAGCCATGAGCATTGCCATTCCTTGTTTTGGTTGGCTCTGAACTCAAAACCAGATCCACTGTGGATACTTGCTTACCTCTCGTGGCTGAAAGACACGTGGACAGGAGTTGGCATCACCACTTGAAAATCTTCGGCTTCTCTCTCTCGCCCACGAAGGCCCACAAGCTGGAATTCTGCTAGTCCAAAGAAGGACACCTCATACCAGTTTCGAACTAAAGGGTGTATCAGACAGAATGACAAAAAGAGAATAGACTAAAACCAGAATAAAAGTAAGTAGTGTTTCCATTTAAGGAGTTCTGTGCTCACACGGTGTTCTAACTCAGTGTTTCCCAACCATGGATCTCCAGATATTAGACTACAGCTGCCAGAATGTGTGACCACTGGCCATGCTGGCTGGGGCTTCTGGAAGCTGCAAATTTGTGTATGCAGGCATGTGTGTGTAAATTGTGCACAAGAGTGAACTTGCAAAGTATAGTGGTGCCTCGCTTAACGGGCGCTCCATTTAGCGATGAAAGTGAACATCGATTAAGTTTTTGCGATCGCATTGCGATGTTTTAAATGGGGTTTTTTCGCTTCGCGATGATCAGTTCCGTTTCGCTTACCGATCATCGCAAAGCGATGATTTTTTAACAGCTGATCGGCAGTTCCAAAATGGCCACCGGGTTAAAAAAATGGCCGCCCGCTGTGTGTAGGGACAGATTCCTCGCTTAAGAGGCAGCGAAAATGGCTGCCGTATGGAGGATCTTCACTTTAAGGGGAGTTTTAAGCCCATAGGAACGCATTAAACAGGTTTTAATGCATTTCTATGGGCTTTTTAAAATGCTACATGTTAGAGGAGACACAATTTACATCCGTGCTGGCCTTCATGAACAATGAGCACTGCAACACCCAATACAGGGCGGTTGGGTGACAGCCATTCCCCTGCCCATGCCTCTTTTTCCAGCAAGAGAGAGAGAGAGCAATATCTCCTGAGAACTTTCAGGAAAGGCAACCGCTTGACGGAGATCACCGGCCCTTCCTGTACTGTTCTAAAACACACACACACACACACACACAGAGAGAGAGAGAGAGAGAGAGAGAGAGAATAAATAAAAAAAAATATCCCCACTAACTCACCTTCTAAGAGGTCTAAGTACACTAAGAAAGCAGCATACACACTACTGCTGTCAGCCACATCCAATGACATCATCTTTGTGAACTGAAATACAGAAATGTAAGCAATGAATGTAAAAGCTACATAGGCGGAATTATACCGTACGTAACAAAATGCCAGACAATTTGTGCCTATAATTCTACTGGAAGTATTTTCCCAGAAACGTTTGGCAGAAACCCCAAGAAAGCATGACACACACCTTTCTTTTCCCAAGAAAAAAGTGGTGAGGGAAAAGCCTACAAAAGGATTTATTGCCAGGCAAAGCCTGTTAAAAGACTTGCAAGTCATGTTTTTAAAAATGCCAATAAAACAGTCCCCTAAAAGCTTGGGTTTAGTGTTCAGGGAGGGAGAAAATGATTTAACAATGCTGGTTGTTCATAAAACCGGCCCAGTTCTGTCCTAAACCTTTTGGACAAGGGCTGCTCCACTTGTGTGTTTGGGTCAATGCATGACACAGAAAAATGCTGTGGGTAGCTGCTGTATCTGCACTGGAATGATCTGATGAAGGCTTCTGATGCCCATTGCTGAACCTGGTGCTGTCAGCTAAACAAACCAGAAGCTCCAGCTTGAGCTGGAAGTGAAAGAGGGGGGATAGAACTGCTGAATAACCCAGTGGCTGAGGAGAGGTTCAGAGTTCACTTCCCTGCAGTGCCTCCTCGATGGGGTCTGGACTTGATGAGCCTCTTTGACAGGGGCTGGACTTGATGCCCTGCAGTTCTAAGATGATGATGATTGTACAAAAGCATCAAAAACAGAAGACCAGATTCCAAATTTGTGTAAGTTCTTAATACAGAGTTTCCTTCATGCTTGCTAGATAAAGATGTGGAAGAGTTACTTTTCTCAATTACAACTTCCAGAATTCTCTAACCAACATGGCCATTGGACAGGGACTTGGGACACCACCGTTCAAATGCTAAAGTTTTCCAGGTTCACACATTCCCTTTAGGACTGAATACACAGTCCCCTGTTAAGATCCCAGACACACAGCAGTAATAATATGCAAATAGAACACGTGACTCTCCCTTCAAATGATATTGGGCTGCAATTTCCATGTCTCACCACTGGCCATGCTGGAAAGGGGTGACAAAGATTATAGTCCTACACTGTCTACAAAGTTACATATTTTTTCCACCCTGATAATAGCAGACCTGCTGCAGGTGTTTAGCAAGTTTTGCCTGCGTATAGCACAGTGCAATGCTTCAACCAGCTTATAGACCTTGCTCCTTCTGTACCTTTAGAATTAAAATAAAAATATCTAAAAGATTAGAGTTGCAAAGTTAGCATTTTATAGGCTTGAATAAACTTAATACTTTCCCAGATCCCCAATTATTTCTCTTACGCAACTAGCAAAATAAGATCTTTTTCAACATGCCCAAACTCCTAAGAGTATTATTATACTAAAAATCATATCAGAGCACAGTTACACAACTTGACAAAAATATGTAATAGTTAAGCAGTCTCAGACAAAATACTACTCTTCAGTATTCTATGTGAGGGTTCGTACTTTGCCTCTCCTATTTGTAACTGAGACTCTGCAGAAGTGAGGGTTCGTACTTTGCCTCTCCTATTTTTAACTGAGACTCTGGAGACACTTGTGTTGAAAAATCACAACTACTCTTTATTGGAATATATAACAATAAATCTTTTTGCCCAAACTCAGTTGTGTTGAAAAATCACAACTAGTCTTTATTGGAATATATAACAATAAATCATTTTGCCCAAACTCAGCTTCTCTAATTTCTCTCGTTGCCAACGGGTCTGTCGAGGGCATCCAAACGTCTTTAACAAAGGGGTTACAGCTCAACAGCTCAAAGTCCTCTCAAAAACAGATTACTTTTTTTCCAACTCACAAGTCTCCAACTCAGGGTTTAATCGTGGGGTGGTCTCCTCATCTCACACCTCCGTCCCATAATGGTCTTCCTCTCCTCGTAGAGGGGTCCATGATCGGTTAAGTAGCCCCTCCTCTGGGCATCTTCTAGACGCCATGCCTGACACTCCTCCTCGTCTACCGCATCCTTTTCCTCCCTGAGCTGCCTGGGCCACTCTCTGGCCTCAGACTCTCCCCAATAGGAAGGATGTTGCGGCAGACCCCTTCTCCGCCGGTAATCAGCTTCCTCTATGGGAACTCGTACCATCTCCCATCTACTGGCCTAAGGGTCCTCTACCCATATCATTTCCCACCCCCACCCCTGGTATTAAGTCCACCTCCCCTTTTATATCTGCCATTCCTGAGACTGTGCAGCTCTTCTAAGAATACACAGGCTGGCTCTTCTCCCAGCAGGCAAAGTGGGGAATCAAACTCCCCACCTCTGGCTCCACAACCAAAAACCTAAACCACTGGGTTAGCCAGCCAACCAAAATACCTATAACACTGGTCTACAGCGAAAATGCTTCAAAAATAAATGTGGTTGAACTTTACGAATTCTGACCAAAATACCTATAACACTGGTCTACAGCAAAAATGCTTCGAAAATAAATGTGGTTGAACTTTACTAATTCTGAGTCACTGAGAATGAAAATGATGCTTAAAAATTGTTGATTGGCTCTATTGGGTCAGTATATACAACCCTTGACTTGGGAACGGTGGAGGATAAGTGAGTTATAAAGGGAAGATATCTCAATTTAAACCAGAAATGACTAAAATACATCTTTGAATGGATCTATTAATATACCTATGACTAGGTTTGGACAGTACTTGCTTTTTAGGCAAAACAGTTTTAGACTGCAACAACATCGACAGTGTGATGGCAGCCCTCAACATTATCCAGATGAATGGAGACTGTTTATTGATTCATCAAAGCAGAGTCTTAAAGCTGTTTTGCTGCATAACAGCAATGTTTTGCCATCAGTTCAAGTTGGTCATGCAGTCTGTAAGAAGGAAATATATGACAACATGAAACAACTTTTAAGGTGCATAAATGCACAACATCAGTGGCACCTTTGTGGTGATGTGAAGGTTGTTGCTTCTTGCTTGGTCTGCAAACTAGATACACAAAGCACTGCTGTTTTCTCTGCAAATGGGATAGTTGTGCAAGAGATTCTCACTGCATCAAGATAAACTGGCCACTCAAACAGTCACTGGAGTATGGAAGGAAAAGTGTTGCGCATCCACCACTTGTTGAATCAAGGAAGATTTTGTTACCACTTTTACACATCAAGCTGGATCTGACAAAGAACTCTGTCAAGGTCATGGACAAAATACAAGCAGTCTTCAAGTACAGTACCTCCCTGGAAAATTTCCTTGCCAGAAAGGCAGCATGGAAAGCTTTCCAGATAGTGGCAATAAATTTTATCAGAAACAACAAGATAACTACAAGTTGTTGATGGAAAACCTCCTCAAGGCATACAAAAACCTTGGTTTCAACATACTGTATCACAGAAGATACATTTTCTATGCTCTCATCTAGATTTTTTTCCACCAAACTGCGGAGCAGTAAGCAATGAGCATGGCAAGCAATTTCACCATGATGTTCCAACAAATAAGAAACGCTATCAGGTCAAATGGAGCCCACCCACAAATGCTTGCAGACTACTGCTGGACAATGACAAGAGATGCTCCATTTAATGACTACAAGAGACAAGCCAAGAAGCACCAAGTAGACATTGAATAGAACTAAACTGTACATAATCATGTTTTGCCTTTTTGATTCATAATACATTTTATTTTTAGAATCCTTTTGCTGATTTTTAAAGTGTTACATAAACAGGACAGGTGAAATATTATCATGTAAAAGAATCATAAACACAAGAAAAGACCTGGGTTTAAAATTTATGATCAAAATGTTCCTATCTACACATGCTTAGATGCAAAATGTAAAAACTTAATTATCTTGGAAACAGTAGCCAATCAGCTGTTTTAATCGTCAAATTTTAAATTCAGTACATCAAAATACATAACAAATAGCTCATTTTATCTCTGAAGCAGACGACTTCCAAAAAATTGTTGACCAATAAATTGTAGTAAAATACCTATAACCTACTAAAATTTATCAGTCAACAAATTTTAGAACATATTTAGCCGAGATGAACATGAGAGCTGTCTGACACTGTACGGATTCATTGAGCTCTTATTGCTTTCATACTCAAAGATCCATATAAGTCAGTAGGGTGTCATCACAAAAATTTCAGCATGATGTAAGGTACTGGTTCTTAACCTTGGGTTACTCAGGAGTTTTGGACTGTAATTCCCAGAAGCCTTCACCACCAACTGTGCTGGCTGGGGTTTCTGGGAGTTGCACTTCAAAAACATCCGAGTAACAAAGGTTAAGAACCACTGATGTAAGGAAGCATTTGCAGGACCATTTAATTCAGATTGGTTAAAACTGTAAGAAGCCCGCCTTTGATCGAAGACTTATCTAATACAGCAGTGTCCAGTTTCTCCTAATACAAGTCAGATACATAATATTTGTGATTATCTGCAAGTGCAGAAGCAGAACGAGAAAGGAATAGCTGTCCTCCACTACTGTTCATGACTGGTATTCAAGAGATACAGCACCTCTGATTCTGGAGATAATATACAACTGTTGTGATTAGTAACACAACTAGTAGCTTTATTCTCCATTATTAGGCCTTTTAAAGTAATCACCTCCATACTGCACCTGTAGGCAATATATGGCTCCAGAGATGGATCACTTACAGTCTAACAACATCCAACAGGGCACATGTATCCCACATAGCATAACTATGCACTCTATGAAGATGTCCTTCCTTTATATCTTTCCAGAAATTCCCAGCATTCAGCTTAGTTAGACTAACTTGGGCAATATAGTATTATGCGAAGAAAAAAATTATCTTCCATTGTTTTCCGCCCCCCCCATGTAACCCTACAGATGTTGACACAGTACAACTCATGAGGGATTGTGGGAGTTGCCAATCAACATCTGGAAGGCCAAACTGTCGCCATCATAAGCCTAATATACTGTATAGCCATGATGAATTTGAGTAACACTGTGCCAACATCAATAATGTTTTGTTCTTCCGAGGAACAGGAATAAGCCCTTAATACACAATCAATTACCAGTGAGATTCTGTTCCATGTTATTATGTACACACTCTTAAATCTTTGCACATTTCAGTTGGTACAAAAGAAATTATTACCAATGCTAGAGAATCGTTTATCCCAGGAGTGGTTAGGGATCTCCCCTTCTGGACACCATCTACACAAGTTTTTTAATGAAAATGCAAGTGGAAATATTTTTTTTAACTTGTTAGTCTTGGAGGCTGAGAAGCACCTACTGTAATGGTGGCTCAGCATTCTGCACATTGTTTACATTTTAAGCTTGCAGGCAGGATTCAGAAGGGCTTATATATGAACCACCTTTAATATTATTTCTCTGTGAAGGGAATTTTACAAAGTTCCAGTGTCTCCTCTAGGACTCCCCCTGCCCTCTGTCATTATTGCTGTTGATGATTTCATGTGCTGGTTTTAACCTATAAAGCCCTAAATGGCCTGGGTCCAAGCTGTCTCAAAGACAGTATTTCCCATTATCTATCTATCTATCTATCTATCTATCTATCTATCTATCTATCTATCTATCTATCTATCTATCTATCTATCTATCTATCTATCTATCTATCTATCTATCTTATATGCTGCCCACACTAGATCATCAGGAGAGGCCTTTTTCTTGGGCCCACCACCTTCACAGGTGCATCTGACTGGGACATGGGAGAGAACCTTCTCTGTTGCTGCTTCCAGTCTTTGGAACTCCCTCCCACAGGAGGCCAGACGGGCCCCATCTCTGCTATTCCTTCGCAAGCAGGCAAAGATCTTTCTCTTCAGGCAAGCCTTCACTCATCAACTAGCTACCTGTGTGTGGTTTTTAGATAGACTGTTATGCATTACTGCTTTGACTGGATTTTTAGTACTACAGTACTTGTGTTTTCTATTTTTGTTTTTCATTTCTCAGAGTCTATACTTATTGTTCCTACCTTTAATACTGCCTTTTAATGATGTAAGAAGCCTCTTTATACTCATTGTTCTTAGCTTTAAATATTATCTTTTCATGATGTTAATCACTGTTGTATATTCATTGTTTTCAACTTCAAATATTGACTTTCAATGTGGTAAGCTGCCTTGGGTCCTTTTCAAGGAGAAAGATGGGGTAAAATATTTTAAATAAAATAAGCAAATAAATTTTAGATCCCTACGCTGTGGTTCAAGGAAGATCCTGCCTCTAGGAAGGCAAAAACCAGCTCTAGCCATTGTTTGAAAGCGAAGAAAGTTTCTTAATAGGGAATGGATCAAAATATACACTCCTTTTCACGTGACGCGTGCGTGTTTGGAGACACAGTTGAAAGAATCCCACCAACTTCAAAGGAACAAATGCACTCAGGGAATAATAAAAACCCTCAATTTGAGCTGCCAACCGGTTATTTATAAAAACCGCTCAGGGATGTGGCAAACACAGTAAGTTTCTCAAATGATAGCCACCAATAATCTAATGGGGGAATTGCCTTGCAGAGGGGCAAGGTGAGGAAGCTTCTTCCCCCGCCCCCCAGGAAGCAAGCAAGCACTTCCCAGTAGGATGATCACTTACCGTAGGATGAGTACCCAGCCAGTTCCCTCGCGACGCCCGTCCCCCGGCCTTTGAGGCTTCCTTCTCCTGACCAGACAAATCAAAACCCCGCGCTCCTGAAGCACCGTCCGCCGGTGTTTGAAGCCCGGACCGGCTGCCCGAGGCTTCCATGCCGCATTCTCGTGCAATTGAGCTTCGTTCCGGTCGGTGTCTCAACACTAGAGGTCCTCTGCAGAACACGCTCATGAACTGTAAGGTTCCTCTATCAGGCAGGCAGGCGCTTTAAACTGGTTTATTGCCGTATGTGCTGCACAGATGCTGCTAACTACAAATAGGAAGCTTTCCCACTCTCTTAATGTGTTTTATTAGATTACAGAGGTCTTCACAGAGTTAGATTATCTATGAAAAGGAGAATAAACAGCTATTCCAGTCCACATTCATTTATCTTGGCTGGTGAGGGGAAGAAGAATTTACTTGTGTAAGGATGAGCTGGCTGGATATCTCAGTGGTTTAGGTATCTAAGTTGGGAGTTCAGTTCTCTGCTGCGCCTCCTGTGAGGAGAGTGAATCTGTGTGGTCTTGGGCAAGGTGCACAGTCCAAGGATGCCCCCAGAAGAAGGGAAGGGTAAACCACTTCCGAATATTCTCTGTGTAGAAATCCTTGAAAAGGGTTGCAAAAAGAATGGACTTGACAGCAAGTCAATTTATTTTATATTATTATGAAGGATATTCTAATTTTATATAGATACTGTACCTGCCTTTCAGGTGTCTTGTTTCTCACGCAGGATGGTCCATCTCATAATCTGAGAACAGTGGTGATCATCGCCTGCAAATATCTCCGTATAAAGCCACTAATAATAAAAAGATTAATGGGGAAACTGCCAACCCTAGTTCTCTCCAAGGTACCAAAGCATGGGAAATTCTACTTTTTGGGGCTACTACCCAGAATGTCCCAGCCAGTATGGGTGGCTTTTTAGAGAGACCATCCAAAAAAGTAAGGTTTCTAACCTCTGGGTGTTTTGTAGTATTTTCTTAAGTTTGGGTTTAAGGGCAGGAGGGTTCTGTATTTCAAATTTCTAATCTTTCTTTTCTTTAATAGTTTCATACTGTAAATAATTTACAAAATAATTGTAAATAATTTACAAAAAATAGTTATGTTAGTCTCTTGCAGCAAATAGAACAGAATCTTGTGCTGTATTCAGTGTTAACAAAGGTGGGACATTCTACAGTATAATACTATTATGGGTCCTTACAGTTGTTACAGAGTTTTGAATTTCTGGTAAAATTCTCTTCTTGCTACACAGTAGAAATACAGAGATCAACAGAGAAGAACAGCTATAAGTTCCCTAGAATCCACCCCTTTCTAATTTACTAAGTTAACTAATGATTGAGTACTTAAAATCTCAATAACTCAGTAACTCATTGAATGAGACATTTTCATGGGAAAGAATAAAAATATTTACTTACAGTTACCTGAAATTACCCTTCACAAATTGCTGCCTTGTTGTGATGAAGGGACTTGAGAAATTCAGAGAAGCTATGGGCTATGCTGTCCAGGGACACCCGAAACAGACAAGTCATAGTGGAAAGTTCTGACTAAACTTGATCCACCTGGAGCAAGAACTGGCAAGCCACTCCAGTATCTTTGCCAAGAAAACTCCATGAACAGAAACAAAAGGCTAAAATATATGATGCTGGAAGATGAGCTCCTCAGGTTGGAAGGCATCCAACATGCTACTGAGGAAGAGCATAGGACAAGTAAAAGTAGCTCCAGAGCTAATGAAGTGGTTGGGC